ACACACACTCGCACGTCCCTCACCCACATTTCCTAACTTTCACGTCTCTCACCCCACATACAAAACATGCACATGATCTCATTAGCATCAGTAAAGGCACAATCTACTTTAAAAAAAAGGAGAGAGAATTGTGCAAAGAAGAAAGAAAGAGGGGGAGGAAAGCAACGAAATTGAGAGGAATAGAAAAGAAAAGATTGGAAAAATACTCAAGAGAGAAAAATATTGAGAGGCTGAATTAACTTTCAAGAGAGGGTTTCACTTCTTCATCTTTAAAATAAGGAAACTGGGGAAGAAGACATGGAGTCTAGATAGAGGCTAAAATACGAGTCAATATTGGGGTCACCGTTAAGATTCCAATTTCACACGAGGGTTTCAGTTCTTATTTCGGTTTCTAAATCTAATTGCTGCTGTATTTAGTTTGGATTTTCATCATTGTAAACTTGTTCTGGAGGTTCTTTCTATCATATATTGAAGAAGATTTGAATCCCCAGGTTTCTTTCTACTTTTTTTTTTTTTTTTTTTAATTATTTCTCATTCCTTTAAATGTTAGTAATTTGAGTTAAAAGTTGATAAAAGATAATACAATAATTTATGAAAGGAAATACTTACAGTTTTGGATGTTTAATTACCGGCAGAATTGCATATCCATATTATTTAAATTTCTTCACTTTAGTGTCAATCATAATACTGAAAGTTGTTATACTTTTTGTCTAGATTCTAACTAGTATCCAATAATATTTCCTTAAAATCCATTTCCATGTTAATCCATTGTTGGTTGGACGAGGGACCCTAACGAACCAATACTTAGTCAATTTTTTTTTTGTCCAATAGAATATAATGGCAATTAAGGTTGTAGACTTCAAATGTTTGGAAATTTCAGAGAACACAAAGAGAGTTCTCATTATGCTTTAATTTTCAGTACATTCTTTTATCATTTGGAGAATTATTTAATTTAATACGCTACTTTGGGGATTGAATCATAAAGTTACATTTTTAAATTGTATTAGATGAAATATATTATTTAGGTCAATAATTAAGTTTAGTCTATTTTAATTAGTAAAATTGAGATTTGAAGTACCTTTATTAAAGATAAATAAACGGAATACTCCTAATAAGCTAATATGCTTTAGGTGCGTATTAACCAATAAGTTATCATGATTATGTACACGTTCGCGTGACATAGTTATGATTTCCCAAATTAAAGGCAAAATATGCGTTTGCGCAACTTTGACAAAACAATCTCAAAAATAATAAAGTGTTATTAATTGTGTACACGTACGTGTGACATGATTCCTGACACACTAAGCGAAATGAATACACGTGCACGTGATTCGTTTCAAGATAATTCTATAATTTCAAATAATCAAGCAATTAAAAGCGGTTTAAGGTAAGAGAACATAAATTTCTCTAGAACATAAAATATCTAGAATTAGTCAAGCCCGGTATAATTATTAAAGCGATCGTGCTAGAACCACGGAACTCGGGAGTGCCTCTCACCTTCTCCCAGGTTAACAAAATTCCTTACTCGGTCTTCTGTGTTTCGCAGACTTAATCATAGTCAATTTCCTTGAATTGGGAATTTAAAATGGTGACTTGGGACACCGTAAATATTTATTCCAAGTGGCGACTCTTAAATACAAATGAATTTATCCCTTTTCAAATAATGTCACTTAAATTGGAAAAACTCCTTTCTTTCCTATCCCCTCGAAAAAAAGGAGATGTGACAGTCCATTCAACACAGACAACGCCGCCTCCAACTCCTTAACACACCCTTCAAGCCCCGCGACCTTAAGTTTAGAGGTCTCCTTCTCCTCGGTCAGCTCCGATCTACAAACATGGAGGGTATTCTCCAAGGCCGCTGATCCAGAAATAGCCGTCGCCAGCTTATCAACACCGACACTCAGTTAGCCCTTAAGCCCCTGAATCTCCACCGCCTTCGTACCCAATTCCGCGGTCAAACTGGCCACATTTGCTTGTAAATCGGCATTCTCGGCCATCACCCCCTGCTTAACTCAGGCTCATCCTCATTCACCTTAAGGGAGGCCTCAAGTTCACTATTACGGGCGACAACCTTCATAAGCTCCTCATCTCGCTCCCTCAACTCCTCGACCTTGCGCGCCAGTTGGTCCTCCCTCTGTTTGAGTCCTTTGCGGAACAACTAAAAGTCAGGGTCCTGATTATAAATATCGGTCATTGCACGATGCTTAGCACGATACTGTTGATACTTGGAAGACATCTTCCCGTAGATGTCCGTCCTCTTCCTTTCCCGACGCTCGCGCTCGGTCTCCATGACAAGGGTCTAACAAAAAAAAGAGAAGTTAAAAACAAAAATACAGGTCGACAATCACAACGCAAGCCCAACGACGAAAATGAACAGAAAGGCACCTACCCATAAGGCCATACCGACGACGTTCTGGGACAACTCTATGTCACTCGTCGCCCTAAGCACCTCGTTTTCAAGGGCAACACATAAAGAGGCTAAAACAGACGCCACTTGATCGCACTTCAACAACAAGTTGTAGTCCCTCGGGATGATTATGTGACGATAAGATCCTTCCGCTCTGACCTCCACATGAGTATGGTGATCTACGAACTTGCGAATGTCCTCTGAGTCAACATCTGCACCTGAGCCTTCGCCCTCGACACGACGGCCTCCAACGTTGGACGATGCACCTCCCTCAGTAGAGCGCACGGATCCGACCCCTGGGTAAATTCCTTCCGTTTGGGGAGATCTCCCCGCTAAAATGGCGTCGGCCATAAATGTGGGTACAGGTGTCGTCTGCGACGCCCTACTTATACCGGAGTCTACGGTCACATCCTTCCCCAGCTCCATTCTCCTCCTTTTTCTTGACAATGACTCGTCCTCGTTAGAGAATTTGGCCAAGAGGTACGGGGTCAGTATTGAAGAAGCCTCCTCCCTCACGACCATGACCCGAGAGGAACATTCTACTTGAACTGATTGAGGATGACCCCCTCAAACAGACTCATTCAAAGTAAACTGCATTCTTGCGGCGTCGACGGCCTATCAAAATGCAGGGACTGGTGCCCTCCGCCTGGAAGCACCTCGACCTGTTGTCATGAAGAGTCGTATCAATAGACGACGACATATAACCAACAAAGTGGTAAGGGGAAAACATTTATTAGATGGAACTCTCGGGCCATAACGTTTTATGAAGGCGGGCCAATCTTGGGTTTCCGCTACATGGGGCAACAGACAGGCTACCCAATCCCTTATGCCAGTAATAGGGCAGAGCCGACGTCCCATAGCTGCAAACGAGAAACAAACAAACCCTATAATGAATATAGATGAAGGAAGAGTAAAATGAGTGGCGACACTTACGAGTCTCGTTCCACCGCTCCGGGAACCTGGCGTGGTCAGAAATAATGTGTTCAATTTTGACAAAGAAATACTTATGCCAAAACTTGTGACTTGTTCGGTCGTCAGTCCCAACCACCAGTCCTTTTGTGCCACGGTGCCTCAAATGCACTATAGTACCCCTGTGGAAGCTGGGCGAGAACATGTGCAAAAGGTGGTGGATAGAAACATCGCATTCCGCCAACTTCGCATACTTGGTCAACAGTAGAAGTATCTTGAGCGTATATGGCGAAAGTTGTGCCGGGAAAACTTGGTAGAACCTACAAAACTCTTCCGCTAATGGGAAAAGGGGAAAAGAATAGCCAATCATGAAAGGGTACTCGTAGAAAGCGCAGTACCCAGGTCTGTGGACCTCTACGAAATCCCTCCCCGCTGGAACCATGTCAACGTGAGCTGGAATGCCACACTTTGCACGAAGAGCGTCAATGTGAACTTGTTCCGTCTTAGAGAGTACGGGGGTAGGAGTAGAAGAGGGATCTTTGAGGAAGTCACTTCGATACATGGGGTGTCTCGGCAGTAACTCCTCCACCGTAGGAAGACTATCACCTTCTTCTACCACCATATCTTCACCGCCTGAAGGGGGTGCCATGGACAATGGGGCGGCCTCACAGATCCCTTCACGAGTTTGATGTGATCTTGGCATGCTTTAGTTAAAAAAGGTAGTGACACAACCCAAAAAAAGAAGAGAAGAAGAAGAAGTTGTGAACGAAGAGTGTGAGAAGAAGAAGCAGAAGGTTGTCAGGGCAAGCTTAGAGAAATGAGGAGGGGGTAATCAGAAATGAAATGGCCAAGATTTTTTTAAAAAAAATAAACCCTCCACCCATTTATAGGATTGGGTGGCGCCAGAATCGAAGCGGAAGGTCACAGAGTGGCACCAAAATCGAAGAAACAAGCCATCAACCCCCGTCTCGAAAACACGCGTAATGATGACGCACGTGAAGATGACATCATTTCTCGGTAAAATGCATTACCTGGTGTCTTGATAAGCACGCTGACCGCCCACCATTGGCCAGGCCGTAACGCCTCGTAAGGTCCAATTTCTCCGTAAGAATGTATGGTGTCCGCTCATCGAGGACGCACCAAGTTGCAACCTCGACAAGCGGAGGGACTAATTGTATGGGTCCAAATTTGAACAACCACAATTGTTGATGAGTACGACGAACAACGAGATCCTGGAAGTTCGACATCCTGCAAAGGACGATCTTAAGGCGAATAAGAGGCTGTACGATCTTTGCAGTAGGGTAGGCCCATTTGGGGACCATGGGGATATTCTTTCGAATAATCCCTATAACTTGTCTTTTAGCGCTTAGAAGGGGTTGGTACCTTATATATATAGAGCGTAAAACAACCATGTAAGGGACTCTGGACATTTTTCCTAACTCATAATACTTGCTGTAAACTCGCTTACATAAACAACTGACTGGATTATTGTTAATTTTTTCTTTCGAAGGATATAAAAAGTTCTTATCCTCTACATTCTCCTGGTCTATCTTCTGTTCTAGAGATTATTATGTTTAGCTAAAATTTACCCCTTCATTTTCTTTGATTGATTTATTCAAAAAGGTTTCGATATCTTTTGAGTCAAACAAACCCCACAATTACACATTACGCTTCATATAATATAATCAATACACTCGTATAATTCGATAAATTAAAGTTCCAATACAGAAGACCCAGATACTGCATGCAAAACACTTTTGCATGCACGACCAATATTTTCTTTTAATTCTTACTACAACATATAACTAGAAACTGAAATATAGAATACTTTCGTAGGGACTATATCATATGTAAGGATAAATTAAATGATTGGATAAGAAGACAACTTGGTGATGTCACAATGACCTCCAGTACCTCTTATAATTCTCATAAATCCATTCTCACCCCAAGATGTTCCCCATGAATTCTTCAATAACCAATAATTTTGACCTTGTTCATCATCAGTTCCATATCCTATGGCTGTAACAGCATGGTTAATTTGATCTGCGCAACTTCCATGATAAGTTCCTCCTTGGTAGAATTGGAACTCTCGGCTAGCAGAAATTCCAATTGACACTGGTTGTTGAGTTACGGCTTGCAATAATGCTGTTTCACTTTCAGGCACAACTTGATAGCTACTTATTTTAACTGCTGGTGTGAGCTCTTGGCTTCTGCATGTGTCTTGTTTCATTTCATAAGGGTAGTCTGATTCAGTGGAAATTCCACCATTTTCTATGATGAATTTAAATGCATTGGTCATAAATCCTCCTTTGCAGCCATTGTTATTGGTGGTGCAATCGAGAAGTTCTTGCTCAGAAAGTTCCACCTTTTGGCCTGTTGCAATTTGGTATGCTCCCTCTAGTGCTCCAACCGCAGAGAATGCCCAGCAACATCCTATACGTAAACAAATTAGTATCTATCAAGACATAGAAAGGTGCATCAACTTTTTATTAAAAAAAGAGATACTTATAAAAGAAAGTATAATAAATAATTAACTACTAGCAAGGACATGAAGTAAGAATCCAGAATTTAATGTCGATGTCGATAGGTTCTGATCTTTATATATGTAGTATAACTATCTTCTCTTTCACACGCACATGCATACTCATATATATAAATAATACCAGCTAGATGTACGTAGTGTGATATGTTGTATCTTACCACATTGACCTTGATGCTTCACTTCAGTGACAGCTCCTTTCTCTCTCCAATCCAAGTTCGACGGTATGTCATCAGTTAGATCATTAATCTTGAATTCCATCGACGATACCGGAGAAGATGGAAGGTGTGAAGGCATGTTTAATCCAGTGTACCTAGCAAAAAACTCGTCTGAAGTAATATCAGCATATTCATTGATGCCCAACTTATAAGACAGATTTCCTGCCCTATTGATTGACTCAATGAATTGCATGTTTTCTTTAAATATCATGAGTCGTTTTCCTTTTTCTGCTTCATCCTTGTAAACTCGTCCATGACGTGCCATCCACAGCTCGTGTCTCTCAGACACAGACAATTCTGGCTGCAGGTTGCGAGCCGTTGCATGAGACTTGTACATGCCAACTACAAAGAACAATATTACAACACTGATCAAATTGATTTTCATAGCCATGGTTAAGTATAACAGAGGGAGAAATATGGTTTGATCACAAAGAATATTGTTGTAATTAAGTTGTTTAAGGCTTGCATTCAATGCCTTTGGTAGCATAGCATTTATATAGAGGCGTAGATGAGAAATTATATCCCAATAACTATTCTAGACTGGCAATAATATAACCTCCTTTTTAGTTCACAACTGGAAATTAAAACAAGTCCATCTTGGAAAGTAGTTTTGATTTATGACCATTTGGATTTATTGATGCAAAATCTGAAGTCGTTATGTATCTTCCGAGTAATTATTTTTTCGGATTATTCATTTCTGGATTGCACACTGATTTTATGCTTTTCCAGGAAATTTCAATTACCCAGAAAAGGTACTAATGCTTAATTTAATTAGATGTTTTACTGCCTCAATCTACAAGTCTTCGCCGTTTGCCCAAGGGCACTCTATTAGTATGTTGGTCTTCCAAGGTAATAGGACGCAAATGTTGTTGTTCAAAGGTTCTGTCAACTTCAAATCTACGCTAACTGGCCCACGGCAAGTTAATTCGTATTCTCAAAGACTCATTTTTACTCTCTACATAGTAAGTCTTTATGCTTTTGAACTTTTGGTGGTTTTGTTCTAAAAAGGAGAAATTACTTGCCACTTTCTAGTGTTCGTAAATTTTGCGCAAATGGAGTCTCCGCAAATTTCCTCCGCATGTTAAGCCGGTGCAAGATGAGATTACTTTTTCTCCTTTCCCTTTTGTCTTTTTCAAATTAGATAAACGATAGTTTCTATTGAAAGTACGAGAGGGGAGGGGGAGGGGGTGAATAGCTTTATTTTTAAAATTAATTGTTATAATTGACTAGTTTTTCAATTAGTCGACTAGATATAATAACGAGATATCAAAAGGTGCAGAATTAAAATGCAGAAGTAATGTGCAGGAATTAAAGACACCGGAGTTTTTATACTGGTTCAGATTCATTGTGAATCTTAGTCTAGTCCCCTTGGGTTGCAAGGGATTTCTCTTTCAGTAATTGAGTTTCTTGAGTACAAAGTGAATGGTGTAGTTCTATACCAACAACTCAGTTTCTATGTCACTCGTTACAATGCCTGTGACGACCCGACCAGTCGTCTCATGAGTTATCGCTCTGTTTCCCCCATTTCTGCTTATTATTGCTTTGTCTATCGGTCCTATATATGATCGGGTTGATTGGCTCGAGTTCATAAAGGATTTGGTAAGGTTTGAGACACTTAGTCTATTTTGAGAAAGCTTAAGTTGGAAAAGTCATCCGGATGTTGACTTATGTGTTAGAGGGCTTGGATGTGAATTTCGATTGTTCGAATAGCTTCGGGAAGTGATTTGGGACTTAGGAGCATGATCGGAATGAGTTTTGAAGGTCTGGAGTAGATTTAGACTTGAATTGGCGAAATTGGATTTTTGGCGATTTTCGGTTAATAGGTGAGATTTTGATACAGGGGCCAGAATAGAATTCTGAGAGTTGCAGTAGTTGTATCATTTGGGATGTGTATGCGAAATTTCAGGTTATTCGGATGTGGTTTGGTTGGGGTTTTGATCAAAAGCGTAATTTAGAAGATTTTGGAATTCTTAGGCTTGAATCCGGTGTGAATCTGGTGTTTTGATGTTTTTTTGAGTGTTCCGAAGGTTGGAACAAGTTTGAATGAGGTTATCGGATATGTTGGCATGTTTGGTTGAGGTCCCAGGGACCTCGGGTGAGTTTCGGGTGGTCAATCGGACCATTCCATGAAGTTTGGAATTGTAGAAAATTGCAGATCAGTGCTGTAAAGAAATGAACTTCGCGTTCGCGAGTGGGTCCTCGCGTTTGCGAAGGGTCAGTTGATGAAACTGGGATTTAAGCCTTCGCGTTCGCGAGGAAGGCTATCGCGAAGGGCTGGGCGTTTGGTTATCGCGTTCGCGTGAGGTTGACCGAGTTCGCGTAGAGGAAAAGTGGTCAGCTGGGTTTGAGGTATTTTATTCATCGCATTTGCGAGAGGGGTAACGCGATCGCGAAGGGTGGTCTGAGTAAAGCATCGCGTTTGCAATGGGAAGGTCGCGATCGCGAAAGAGGAAATTTTGGTCAAAGTTATTTTATGCTTCGCGAACGCGAGGCTTTGACCGCGTTCGCGAAGAAGGATTTCAGTCCTAGGCAGAAGGTTTAAATAGTCGTCTTGTCCGCGATTTTGGGGTTTATTTCTTCCATTGTTGATCGTTTTTGGAGCTTTTTGAAGAGGATTGAAGAGGGATTCAATGGGAATCACTTGAAGGTAAGATTCATGGACTTAAAACTCGATTCTAATGTGAAATCTACCTAATTAATCATGGAATCTAAGCCTAAAATTGAAGAACTAGGGCTTGAAATTTGGAGACTCAGAATTGGGATTTGAGGGGTCATTTGTGGATGGATGTAATAAGGAATCCATTGATGTGAATTTTATCGGAATCCGAGACGTGGGCCCGAGGGTCGGGTTTTGGTAATTTCGGGATTTGTATTGTAAATTGATTATTTTTGCTTGGGCTTCATTCCTTTAGCATATTTTGACGTCGTGGTTTTGATTTTGGATAGATTCGACGTGAGTGGAGGCCGATTCGAGGAGCAAAGGCGTCGGGGGTTAGAGTTTTGACTGGATTGAGGTAAGTAATTGCTGTAAATGATATCCTGAGGGTATATAAAACCCCGGATTGTACATCGTTGTGCTATATTGAGATGACGCACACGCTTGATGATGAGCGTGGGGTCGTGCACTGTTGGGGGATTGTGACTTAGTCCGTCCCAAATGATTATTTTATCGCGTATTTGACTGAAATCTATTTGCTATCATCATGATTTGGGTTGAATGCCATATTTGGGCCTCGTGCTATCTATTTGAACCCTTCTGGGATTTTTATTGATATTTCCTCACTGTTTTGACTTTATACTCGAACTCAGTCATGTTATATTTCCACTGTTTTCATACTCAGCCATGTTTACTATGTTTTAACACTTAAATGATCTTTTAAATGATAACTGGGCTGAGAATCATGTTTTACTACTGCCGAGTGACTTGTGAGAATTTTTGACTTAGTAAGACCGATGGCCTATGTTGTGAGGAAACACTGATCATGATTATGAGGCCGAGGGCCTAAGATATGTACGTCATAAGGTGGCTTGTTGATATGAGGCCGAGAGCCTAGTGATGCCACGAGTTGGCTTGATATTGCGCTTGGGCCGTAAGGGGCCCCTCCAGGAGTTTACATACCCCAGTGAGCGCGGGTACCCATTGTGATGTGAGATTTAGCCCGAGGGGCTGGTATTGTTCTGAGATGTTTCCCGAGGGGCGGATTTATTGATACTGTGGCCGAGAGGCAAACCTTTATGTGTTTATCTTTCTTAATTTCTTGTCATTTACCTGCTTAAATTGTTGAAAAGGCTTTTCATGAAGTTTAAGTTGAATTAAAATGACTCTCACATATCTTTACTGATTTAATATTTTTACTGGTTTTACTGCTTTATTATAGCCTGTAATGTGCCTTACGTGATTTCCTGTTTTCAGCCTTTATTTATGATTATTACTCATTGAGTTGGAGTACTTACTTTACTCCCTGCACCCCATGTGCAAATTCAGGCGCATCTGGTCCCGCTCCCGATTGTTGATCTTTCCACCTCAGGCGGATCCGAAGATTCTCTAGGTAGCTGCCAGCGTTCACAGCCGAGAGCTTCTTATCTACCCTTTGTCTCCTTGTTTTAGTTTTGTATTGAACTCTATAGACTTATCTTGATTATTCCGGATTTTTAGATGCTCATGACTAGTGACACCCCGATATCGGGCTGTGTTGGGTTATTCTTCTGCATAGTTGTACTGTTGACTGCTTAAATGTTGGATTATTTAATTATCATGTTTTAGACTTAAATTCTCATTGTTAACTGCTTAAAATTGAAATGGGTAAGTGTCGGTTGGCGTTGTCTTCACGAGAGGCACCATCACGATCGGGTCCGGGTTTAGGGCTGTGATAAGTTAGTATCAGAGCCGAGGTTACATAGGTCTCATAAGTCATGAGCAGATTTAGTAAAGTCTCACGGATCGGTACGAAGACATCTGTATTTATCCTCGAGAGGCTATAGAACGTTTAGTAAAAACTTTATATTCTTGAACTTCTTGTCATGCGAATTGTTGATCCGAGTACTAAACTTCTGCTATTCTATTCTCTCACAGATGGTGAGGACACGTGCTAGCAATCAGGATGGACGACCACTAGTACCATCGGCTGTGGCCACTAGAGGCCGAGGATGCAGTCGTGGTTGTGATAGGGGTAGAGGTGTGGCCCGCACAACAGCTAGGGAAGCACCTGCAGATCCACCAGCCGCCCCAGTTGAGGATCAGGTCCCAGTTGTGGGCACTCCAGCAGCACCAGCTTAGGCACCAGTTGTGCCCATTGTGATTCCGGGTCTTCAGGAGGCCTTGGCTCAGATTTTATCAGTTTGCACTGGCCTAGCTCAGGCGGTCTTAGCTACTACAGTCGCAGCTACTTCTCAGGCCGGGGGAGGCAATCAAACTCCCGCTGCTCGCACACCTGAGTAGGTCGTGCAGGGACTTCAGAAACATGGGGCACATCCATCCCAGCCGGTTGCAGCTGCTCAGGACTATGTAGTTCCTTCCATGCCAGAGGACGAGCAACGTAGGTTGGAGAGGTTTGGTAGACTTCAGCCTCCGACCTTCAGTGGTGCAGGGGGAGAGGATGCCCAGGGTTTCTTGGATAAGTGCCAGAGGATGCTTCGTACAACAGGTATTCTGGAGATCAGCGGGGTTGCTTTCACTACTTATCAGGTTTCTGGAGCTGCCTTCACTTGGTGGGAGGATTTTGAGAGGCATAGGCCTGTTGGTGCAGCACCCCTGACCTGGCAGCAGTTCTCCGTTCTCTTTCTATAGAAGTATATGCCGCAGTCTTGCAAAGAGGAGCTGCGCAGGCAGTTTGAGTGGTTGCGTCGGGGCGAGATGACCGTGTCGTAGTATGAGTTGAGGTTCTCCAAGTTAATTCGTCATGCCATTTGGTTGGTTCCGACAGATAGAGAGAGGATTTTGAGGTTTGTTGATGGTCTCACTTATCAGCTTC